TCTTTACCTCTATCCCATGGCCTCTGCTTGTATACACAGTAGGAGTAGTTTGACTCTCTATTCATGTGCCTAGACTAATCTAAACTTTCTCATTGATGGGAATTTTCTTCACTTTCTCACTCTATCTTGGAAATCAGAAGGACATTACAATGCTCTCTTTGTTCTTGCCTTTTTGCAATCTCCTCTAATCTTGAACCGGCTTCATGCAATAATATTCTGGCTATGCAAGGGGTAATAACTTTTATTTTCATCTTCAGCAAGAGGACCTTGTACAGGTAGTGTTTGAGAATTGTAGTGGAATCTGTCCATTACAGTCACAAGTTGTGATGGCCATTAAACAAGGTGGCCTCATGATCACCTCATTTAATAGTCCCCGTTCCTACTCTCTCATTTAATGGTCATTAAATGACTGTGCAGCTCATTAAGTGGAGATTGAAGGAGGGGGGACTGGGAGGACTAGAGCAGGCCCAGGCTGACCTGCCCTAGACCTTCCGCACCCCTCCTTGTGGCACCCATGCTTTGCTCCTCAACGCTCAATGTCCCCACAGGCCTTGGGCCTGCTTCCCACCCTGCCAGGTCCCACACCCTCCTTCACTGATTATGCACTTACCTTCTATACAGTAGATCCCCAGGAAAGGAGAGCTGGCTGCTTTGTTCCTCAGCATCCCTGCAGGCCACATGGCATTTTCACAGAAGCAGGTGCCATTTTTGAAGCAGCCACAAATCATTGCGGTTGCTCAAAAATTGATGCCTGCTTCCAGGATAAAGCCATGCAGCCTAGAGATGCCAAAGAATGGAACAATTTGCTCTCCTTCCCTAACATAAGCTCTGAAGCTCCAGATATCTACAGAAGATAACTGAGTAATAAGCAAGCAAAAGCCCTGGTCATGACTTGGGACCAGGGCTATTTGAAGAACTGCTTCTCCCTTATTACATCTACCTAGCCCATCAGGACAGGAAAGCAAGGCATATTATGGATCCCATTAATTAGGGATGTTTATCTAGTAGGACCACAAAAAGTAGTCCTTCTTGGTGGTAGCCCCTTCTTTAGAGGTATGGTTGGCCACTATCCTATTGTTCTTCTGAAAGACCCTAAAAATGTGGTTTTGTCAGCAGACCTGGGACCACAAACTGAAACGGAGCTGATCAGATGGCTGATCTGATTGTGTTGTTGCTGCCATGAAGAGTGAGGGGGGAGGTTTCTTATGAGTTTATATTATATGGTGGACTTTTTTAATGTTGTAAGCTGCCTAGAATCACCTGTGTGTGAGTTGGGCAGCTATATAAATTATATAAATAATAAAATAATAAATATGAAATAATAAATATAAAATAAAATTATTAAAATAAAACAATAAAATAAAATAAATAAAATAAAAAATAAAATGAAATATAAATAAAATAAAATAAAATAAAGCAAGCAAGCAAGCAGGGTCAATAGGGAAGCTGGCAGGAAGTCGGAAGTTGCTACCACTGCTTTTTTGCCATGATCATCCTGTTTCCCTGTTTAGGTAAGGAAATATTTCGGAAAGGATGACCCAACAGGTCATGGGTTGTATAGTTATCTGCTAAAAGAATAAATGAATTTGTGAGGCACTCTTCTGTGAATAATAGTAGTGATTTTATCGAGCAAGAAATCAATCTACTACTTCTATTTACAAAATTAATTTTTAATGTATTGTATATCACAGGATTTTCAAACTTTTTATCATATGCCCACTGTCATATGCAAAGTTAAATGTAAACCTTGCTCTCCCTGTGTTGGCAAGCCTAGAGTGCTGGCAAAACCATTTTCTTTGGCCAAGCCTACATTCACCTTGTGCAGGCCAAGTAGGGAACAAAGTCCAGAAAGAATTTTAATAGTAGTCCTGCTATACATGAAGAAGTGTGATCAAGCTTTTATAAAATGTAATTCTTTCAGTAAGCTCACAATTTCAGAACTCCTGGATTAGGCCCTAGCTCCCATGGAGCTATGACCCCAGATTGTATTTTATCTCCTATACCACCTCCAATAGTGTGTGTGTGGGGGGGGGGGTTGTTAGATACGCTTTTAATTGTTTTTGTATTGAAAGGTGAAATTCCTGTTCATCTTCAGCATTTTAACAGAGGTCTGAAGGTTTAATGCCAAAACTGACTGATACTTGCAACTGTTCAAAATTCCTTACACCTTGACTAAACCCCCAATTCCAGCTGATAAGAAATAGCTCCAAAACAAAATGCTGCCATCACATTTTACTGTGGGCATGGGATGCATTTGGCAATGTGCAATGTTACTTTTGCACCATACTTTTTGAAATTATGGCCAAAACGTTCAACCTTGGTCTCATCAGAGCATAACACATTTTCCCATATGCTTTTGATAGACTTGATGCAGATTTTGGAAAATGTATCTTGGATTTTATTATTTTTTTGTAAGAAAAGGCTTCCATCTTGCCACCTTACCTCACACTCCAGACATATGAAGAATATGGGAGGTTGTTGTTATATGTAGTACACAATCAGTACTCACCAGAAATTCTTGCAGCTCCTTTATTGTTGTTGTAGGCTTCTTGGGAGCCTCTTGGACCAGTTTTCTTCTTGATTTTTTTTTTCATCAATTTTGCAGGTACATCCAGTTCTTGGTAGTGTCATTGTTGTGCCATATTTTCTCCACTTTTTGACTGTCTTCACTGTGTTCCATGGTATACCCAATATCTTGGAAATTTTTTGTACCCTTCTCCTGACTGATACCTTCCAACAATGAGATCCCTTTGATACTTTGTAAGCTCTTTGCTTTTGGCTTTTGTTAAATAAATGTCAGAAAAATCCTACAAGAACAGTTGAACTTTATATGGACTTGATCAGAATTACTTTAATTGATTCCAGGTATGTATTGACTGCTATTTAACATCAGTTTCAATGCGAATGGTTGATTTTGAACACAGCTATATCCTATTTATAAGGTGTGCACATTTATTGTAAACAAGTTGTTTTTTATTTTTTTGCCCTGAAAGATTTCAGTTTGTTTTTCCATTGAATTGTACAGCTTATATGTTGTATTAAAGGTAGGGGAAAATCTGAAGTGATTTATCTTGGTCTAATTTTTTTAAATCTCAAAAACCTAGCATTTTAGCAGGAGCGTATAGACTTTTTATATCTTCAGGAGGGAGGGAAGTAGATCCTAGCTAGCTAACTAGCTCCAAAACCAGTAATGTGGGGTTGTGAATGAATATCATTCTTTGCACATTTTTACTGAGCTGCTGAACAAGCATTGTATAGTTCCTACACATTCTCAGTATTTCAAATTTGATGGAAATAATTACAGGGTTAAGCATGGTTTTGAAAGAGTAGAAAGTAAAAATAGAGATGATGTACGTGTGTTTGAAGTGAATAGAGATATATTCATTTCCTAGGTGTCACCAAAAGATAAGTAAGAGCAGGGGCGAAAGATAAGTAGCCTTTTCACTGGGTAACCCAAAAAATAAATTTCTCACTTATGGAATTGTACTTGGCATCTTGTAGAAGCTTTCAATTATTATATAAATCAATGCTGTTTGTTCCTAGTTTGATGTATAGGATAGTAATATGGGAAAATAGGTTTATTATCTTATTTGAATAAGAAGTTTCAATATTAATGGAACAGCTTGCCTCCTGGAGTTGTGGGTGCTCCATCACTGAAGGTTTAAAAAAGAAGATTAGGCAAATGTTGTCTTTGGGAAGGGAGATGGACCAGAAGGCCTCCAAAGCCCCTTCCAGCCCCAAGATTCTAAGTTCAAAAGATAATGATCCAGGCATGTAGTTTGCAGTTTTTTTCCCCAAATCAGACATTACTCATTGGGATATCAAATGAGCATTTGTGATTGAACAGTGATTTAAGGAAGTCATGCATTTGCCTTCTAAGATAATTAATGTGGAAATAGGTAAAGGAAATATATGGGCTCAATGCTTTTTTCAGTTATAATAAATCAAATTGTTTTAGACCAAAATTGTTATAGTTAGCATACAATAACAATGTTTGTCACATATTATTGGCTCTGTAAATAAATGATGTGATCGTGATTGAATCCTTGCATCCATCTTATTAGGCAGATATATAGATTCTTACTTGATAGCAACACAAACATTCTTCTGGAGTAAACAGATTTAGGATTATTTTAGTCAGATACATTTTATATTTTTCACAAACTTTGGTAGTCTGTAGCCATTACTCTTCATTGACAGTCTTTTATTATCTTTGCTTTCATAATGATACTCTCATTATTTAGATTTCACAATAACAAAATATATACTTGTAACAGCTATTTTATTGGATACTATAGTAATCATGCTGTTATAGAGAGAAAACAATTCCGGACTCACATCATGCTGTAGCTCTATTGTACTGTCTTCAATTAAAGATATGATCAATTTCATAAAAACTTAGGGCTACCAGATACTGTAAAAATGCATTCACTAATTGACAGCAGAGAGTTAATGTTTACTATGTCTCTTTGCTGCCATCTCATGGTCATCTAGATCTGGTAGCCCTACTTGGACTTGACTGATTCATAACATTATTAAAAGGAATAATGCCCTGGAAAATGATCCAGAGTTTTTTGTGCTATGTGATCATACACATATGTTCATGTATAGCCAATGGAAATTAATATATATATATATATATATATATATATATATATATATATATATATATATATATATATATATATATATATATATATTGAATTATGGTTTTGATTTCATTTATTTTGGCTGAAAATACTTGGATGAATGTTTGATCACTCACATATAACTCTAACACACTTATCCAGCAAAGGGAATGAGCTAATTGTTAAATTCAGTTCAACAAGTTCCTCATTAAGAACAAATTACTTGAGTTTGAAATCTGCTAATTTTCCAATCAGGGTAAGTGTTTGCACTTGTGATTTGGAAATAATTACCACAATGTATAACATCTTAACCTATGTAGAAGCTAATGAGAAAATTTATTTCTGTGGAATGAGAAAAAAGCTGAAATAATCTGTGATGTCCTATAGATTTTTATTAACTAAACACTATGTCATTTATACAGCTGATAACTTTTACAGACAGTTCTAATTGTTCTTTCAAGTTGATTTGTATTTCACTCTGATTCCATAGAGAATGTTAATTTATGTTAGAATTATGTCTATCTTGATGCTGAGCAGTCATTTCAAACCTGGAAGAGATAAATTACATTATATTATCAACACAGCTGTCACCATAACTAGCTTTAGACAACATAAAAAGTCAAATCCATATTATGGTTAAACATGATGTATGAGCTCAGCCTTTGTCGAGTCATGTTTTATGGCTTAATATATGAGCTCAATGTAGCCTAGCTATGGTTAAACAAACCATGGCTCAGAATCTTATTGCTTTGATCTCTGTCAGCCTTCCCCAATTTGTGGCTTTCAAAGATGTAAACCTACATTTTTAATTTAGGCCGCAGTGTTTTTAATATAATGCTAAGAATGAGATATGTTCCATTTGGGGATGTAGTGAGATAACCTGAAACAGACAACTTTAAAGATATTGCCACTTGAGTAGGAATGTATGCTAGCTTCCATAACCCCATCTGTTGGCCCTGTTGCTTATAGCCTTCCTGGAGGCATATCTGACCACAGTAGAAACAGGATTTTCCAAATATATCTTTGCATGGGCTCTTCTTGATTTTAGTGAAAGCAGCAAAGAAAATTCACCATTAAGCAGAAAATACATTACTCTAAAAAAAAAAAAAGACAGAAATCTATATTTGGAAATACATGGTAATACATCTCGCTATAATTGAGAAGACTGTGATCAATTGTTTTATATCATTTTTGCTTTGTTCTTGGGGACATCAGGGTCTCAGTTCTGCCTTCATAGATTTCAATTCTTCAGATTAGGAGGGAAATTGATAGTGTCCAAATAAAATATTCAAATAAAATACTTTCCAAAACAGGATTCATGGCTGTTCAACTGATTTAGATGAACAATTTTTATCTGGGGAAAAATGCTTTGCACCCTTATTTCTTCTCTAAGGATATATTTCAAGACATCATTTCCCCCAAAACAATGCAATTTACTAGTTTTAACCATTTTTGTTCTGTTTCTTCCTATTGCAGACTTATAGCTATTTAATACAATTCTCGGCAATACAGAAGATCAATGCCAATATGCTATCTTACGAAATTGTACCAAAAGAAAAAATGTGAGGGAGCAAGAAATTTGTTTAGGAACTGATAGCAGTAGCAGTGAATTTTATTACTGCTCTATTATTTTAAGCCAGAAACACTTGTTTTCTAAGAATTTAGAGACATTTAATCAAAGTTTAGCTATTTAGTTTTGCCAATTATCACAATGGGTCAAAATGTGACTAATATAAAACCATTTCTATAATGCAAACGGACAATTTAGAAGCAATGCTTGTTTTAATAAATAATATTACAAGAAAAGTAATTTTATAATGAATTATATGATAGTAAAAATAATTATCATTCCAAGAAGATCCATGCACAACTATTTTGAGATTAATTCCAGATAGCGCTGATCTCATGGCCTCATCTATTTTTCTTAAGCATTGGTCCATTTTTCCATTTAGTCCAGTTTACCAGCAATAGTAGCAAAATTGGCATTTTCCTTTGAATCAGTGCAACTGTACAGTCGTTGTGGTCAATCTGTTTTCTATTGATGGAATTCTTGCTTCTAGAAATGGGAGCTTTAGTTCCATAAGATTTGTTTTAGAGATCAAATTTGTAGGGTATTTAGCCCACAATTTACAGTATCTATATAAATTAGTTTTTTTATCCTTTTTTATCTTGAACAAGCTTTTCAGTCTCTACCTTTTTATGTTACATAGTCACAGCTAGATCTTCATTCTGTTCTAAATTGTTTTCAGTTGCATCTTGGGCTTTAATCATCTGTTATTCTTGATCATTTCCAATATGATAGCCATCAGAAGTGAACATAAATACTGCATAGCATAATCAGCAGAGGTATACTGATTATGTACTTATAACATTATATCTTAATTTTGAAAACTTTAAATTTTAAAATAGAAAGATAATAAGTAACTGGAACTAATAATAATCAAGGAAAAAGAGAAGAGGAAAAGAGTAGAGAGAGAAGTGCAACAAAATAAAAAAGCAAAGATACAAAAAGATATTCTGACTTCTTTTACAGCAGATATAAGGAGCAGGTCTTTTTAGGAAAGCTAAAGGAGATTGTGAAATAGACTTATAGTATTACATGCAGCCAGAAGACAACTGTTGGGGGATGCTGTGATTCGATTCATGGGAAAGCCTACTGAACAACAAGTGTTGCAGAAATACTCTCAATTGAGCATTTCTTTTTCTTCAATTCATTCATATTTTATGACGGTTGCAGTGTCCCAGGGTCATACGATTACCTTTTGCAACCTTTTGACAAGCAAAGTCAATAGGGATGCCAGATTCACTTAGTGTGTTACTAATTTAACAACTGCAGTGATTCACTTAACAACTGTGGCAAGAAAGGTCGTAAAATGGGGCAAAATAAATTTAACAAATGTCTCACTTTGCTTGGGCTTAATTGTGGTTGTGAGTCAAGGGCTACCTGTACTGTATGAAGAAATATTAATATTAAATTATTTTTAAATCAAATTTAATTTATATTCTGTTTCCATTCTGCTCTATATTTTAGATTGTAATCCCCATTAAATTCCAAGGCCAACAGAAGCAGTCAAACAAGAAGAGCATCTCTGATCTACAATATAATCAAAGTCACGTCCATACAGAGCTACTTTCCATTTGGTGTGAATGGAACTTCCATTGAAATAGATTTTATACACATATACTGTATATGTAATGTTAGTTTCCAAATGGCTGTAAGTCGAGGACTAGCTATATCATCTGTAATTGTTTCCAGAGAAGAATCCTTTAATTCTTTTAAAAATCAAAGGTATTTAAGGCCATTCCCTCAGTAGTGACTTACAGCACCGTCACATCACTTCTAGCCATTTTTAAAGTAATAAAACCAATTCCTAGAACACGGGTGTCAAACCCGCCGCGTCACGTGACGTGTCGCGACATATCACGTTTTTTTTTGCATTGCTGGAGCTGGGGTGGGCATGGCCTCTGTATGATGCAACCGGCCCACGGGCTGGCAGTTTGACACCCCTGTTCTAGAAGATGCTTTAACTGAGGACATGGACTTAGAGAAGATGAAGTGTTTTCTAACTTAATAATATTAAAAGATAGTTATTTTCACTTGGTTCTTAAAATTAGCTATTTGAAATCAATCTTTCAGATTTTGATGCAATGATATTTTTCCACAGAGCAAAATGCATCAACTGGGTTAAAAAACAAACAAAGAAAGCCAAAGTTAATTTGTCATACTAGACTTCTGTTATTGTTACTAGGTTTTTCCTAGAAAATCATCTTGAAATTATAGTTCTAGCATCAATTTTCACTATTTTGAGATTGTATGAAATACCCGTATTTTGATCAAATAGAGTACAGGAAATAAAATCCTTGCCCCCTTATTTCTGTGTATCATCTATCTAAAACAGAAAATTTCTCTTAAATATAATTCATATGCTCTCCAAATGGTCACTAGATGGCATACTAATTTTGCTTCCTACACCAACCAGGGAAGTGATTGAAGCCTGGGAAACAGGCCCCTTATTAGTCAATAGGAATGCTGATTTACCACAAGCCTATCAAGTACTTAGAAGGCAAGGGCTGGGCAGCACAAGCAAATGACAGCTAATGACTTAAAAGCCAGCCATCAACACACCCCAATCAACATCTAAAAAGCCACTTACAACAGGCACTATAAATACCACACACAGAACAGCACACACTTTCTGCTAGAGAGAAGTTCCCTGAGGATGGGCTCCAGCACGAGTCCGAAAGCTCAGAAGACAGAAACTCTGGTCCCGGTGACTGACCCAGATTGGATCCTGCAACATTATCCTGGGACACGTATATTCGCCTTCATTTGTGAGAGATATGGGTGGCTAGCGCTTCAAACAGCTCAGCTTTGGGAATCCTTCACAGCATATGAAGCATCCACTTATAAACAGCTATGCTTCCTACATCAATGCACTTGAGAAGGGGTCATTCCACGCAGCCTATGATACCAATCACCAGTCAACTCAGAGATGGGCAGATGTATGGCAAAAGCATTCAGCAAACAGATGTTAAAAGACTTAATTGCCATCTCTAATTGGGCAAATATAAAGCAGCCATCAATATACACAAGGGGCATTGCCTATCACAACTTGAAGAATAATTAGTCACCCACTTAGAGAATGTTATTAGGACTCTCGTAAAAGAAAAACAGGTGAGAAAAAGGAAACAGTTGGAGGAAAAAATTCAAAAGTTAAAGCCATGTTTCGAAACCTGTGTGAATCTGTTCTATAATTTATCAAACAATTAAGCCAGCAGAAACTACACATACTTGATGAAGGATTCAACAAATGAGATGCCACACCAAGAAAATTCATAGCAGCACTGGAATCCATATTCAACAGAAATAGAAGAGCCAGATAAATATGCTATCAGACAAAAAGTATCACCAATGCTGGTCACACACAAACCAAACAATATGCTCAACCCAATGCAGCAACGCACCTTGAAAGACCTAAAAAAAGATCAGGATATCATTATTTTACTGGCAGGCAAAAACTGCTCAACGGTGGTGATGAACCACACAGATTATGAAACGAAGACATTTGCCCTGCTCAATGATTCCTCAGCATACAGACCAGCAAAGACATCACAGATTAGAACAATGGTCACCCTACTGAATACTTATTTCAGCCAATTCAAACAAAAAACTGTATAACAAAAGGAATGGTGGAAAATGAGAAGAACAGATGCTGCCATAGCTACTTCCCAAGATACACAAAATAGTAGTCCCCCTCAGACCTATTGTAGGGCTACAAGACACCCCTATGTATAACCCAGCTAAATGGCTGTCACAACACTTAAGCTTCCTGACCTAACCTTGAACAGCACATCATCCACACAATTTCTGACAAAGCTACAAGGCTTAAATGTGGCTCCTGATGAGATCATGGTCTCTTTTGATGTAGTGCCCCTATTTATATTCATCCCTCCCCACTTAGCATATGAAGTAATAGATAGAAAACTAGAAGAGTACAACACAGATCAGAACAACTTAACCAGGTCACAAATCATGAAGCTACTTTAATACTATCAACGTACCTTCTTCATATTCAAACACAAAATGTATGAACAAATAAAAGGGACACACATGGGATCCCCAATATAAGGAATCATTGCAAAAACAGTCCTGCAAAAACTAGAACACCGTGCATTTCAGAACTACATACCTAAATTCTTGTGCTGCTACACATCTTTCATCATCAAGAAAAATGCTCTTAAAGACATTCATACCATACTGAATTCCATCTTCCCTGACATACAGTTCACAGTGGAGGAAGAAACAGGTAGGTAATTACCATTTTTAGACATATTTGTCAACAGACAAGAGGGTGGAAACCTAAAAACCACAGTTTATCATAAGGCCACCAATACTTCATGCATTCTGAATTTCAATAGCAACCATCCACTGTCACACAAAAAGAGTTGCATCAGAACACTATATGGAAGGGTGAGAACCCACTGTACTACCCAGCAAGCCAAACAGTTGGAGAGCAGGTACATATGTGAACAATTCAAGCAGAATTGGTACCACAATCATCTGTCACAAGATGTCTGTGCAACAGGGTGGGGAAAAAAAGGAAGAAATAAGGTACAAGACCAACCACATGGCATACCCTGCCATACATAAAAACATTTTGGAAGCTGTAGAACGCAACTTCCAAGATCTGCAAGTGGGCACAGCATATCTCTCAGAGGCTACCATATGAGGATAAATTATGCATTATAAAGATTGCTTGGAGGTCGGAGATACTTCCAATATAATCTACCAAATCCCTTGCATGGATTGTCTCTGACTATGTAGGACAGATGTGGAGAAAGCTAACCATCACATTGCAAGAACACAAGCGAGCAGTCAGATGAGGAGACCCAAACTCATTGGTAATCTCATACTGCAGTGAACAAGGACACACATTCAATTTTGCAGCTACCAAGATTGTTGGACGAGCAGGCACAAAAACAGCCAGGGAAGTGATGGAAGCTTGGGAAACAGACCCCCTTCTCAGTCAATAGGAGTGCTGATTTACCACCAGCCTATCAAGTACTTAGATGGCGAGGGCTGGGCAGTACAAGCAAATGACAGTTAATGACTTAAAAGCTAGCCATCAACACACCTCAATCAACTTCTAAAAAGCCACCTACAACTGGCATTATAAATACCACACACAGAACAGACACTCTGCGAGAGAAAAGTTCTCTGCAGATGGGCTCCAGCATGAGTCTGAAAGCTCAGAAGACAAAACCTCTGGTCCCGATGACCAACCCAGATCCTGCAACATTATCCTGGGATAAATATATTCACCTTCATTTATAAAGGTCATGTTGGTTTAACAATATATATATTTTAATAGTACACTAGACCAGGGCTTTTCAACCTTTTCACTGATTGTACCACTTTTAGAATATGGTAATATTCGAGTACCATCTAGCAAGATGACCAAACACACACACACCTGTTTAAAGTTGCAATTGCACTGAAATGACTTATGACCATTTTTCACACTTATGACCATTGCAGCATGCCCAGGGTCATATGACTTATATTTGGATGCTTGGCAACTGATTCATATGTATGATGGTCACAGTGTCCCAGGGTCATGTGATCCCCTTTTGCCACCTTTCGACAAGCAAAGTAAGTGGCAGGGCTGCTGGTGGCCAAGTGCTAAGGTGGGACTTCCTTCCCTCCCTCCCTCCTTCCCTTCCTTCTGAAGGAAGAATTTGAAAACCCCCCCATATTTTCATCAAACAAGGAAAAGCCTCCAGAGACAGAAAAGACAAGCCGCTGGGGGAACTAGCTTAAAAAGGTGCATTCCCCTTTAAGAATTAGCTATTGGCTAGAAAGGAAAATTAAGGAGCAGGCAGCCGGCACTTAAAGAAGAAAATAAAATGTAGTAAGTACTGGCTGCTGACTAAGGCAGCCTCTCCAAATGGCTCCATGCATAAGTAAAGGAATGCTACAGGCAAAATCCATTCAGGAGAAAAATACTTCAAAATCCCTTGCAGCAAAACTTACAGCTAACAATAGCAGAGCAATAGACGCTAACATGAGACATCAGCCATCAGCCAAACAGAAATTGCCAAACACTCCTTAAGAACACAAAGCCCACATTGCACAAATCCCAGAACTTCAAAGTCACAAAAGCACATAAGAATCCTTCCACTCTTCATCTCCCTCCCTCACTCCATGCCTCACCTCCACTGATGCTATCTTTCTTCATTCCTTGTGGAGGGTGACCCCTCCCCTGCTGTGGTTCTTGCCTGTTTGCTGCTGCCAGCACAGGGGGCTGCCACAGAAATTGTAGATCGGCTCATGACCAGCCTGCTTGATCTCCTCTCCTCTCCCCCCACCCTCCTCCTTCCTTCCCTTTAATGCAGCTAAAGCTGACTCCGCCTCCTCCCAAGGCTTCCTCTTTCTCTCTCTCTCTCTCTCCCTCTCCCATCCAAATTGCCTCCTTTTATAGCCTCTCCTGTCTCCACCCCCCTCCTCCTCCTTTCTCATCCAGGTGAGCCGGAAGTGAGCCTGGGGCCTTTGCCTTGCCCCAGCCACTCTGCAGATCCAGAGGACTCTCTCATAGTAAGTCCTGCGCTGCGCTGGCTCATTCCCTCCCCCACTATACTTGGCTGGGCAGGGCTGTGTACCACCTGCCATGTGCTAATGTACCACAGGTGGTACATGTACCACCGGTTGAAAAGTCCTGTTCTAGTTCAACCCCCTGCTCAAGACAGACCTTATACCAGTGATACCTTATATCTTGACCCCCTGCTCAAGACAGGAGACCTTATACCAGCTGAACCTTTTAAAGCCCAAGTGCCCAAACTGTTCTTGAAAACCTCCAGTGATGAAGCACAACTTTGGGAGGTAAATTGTTCTACTGATTATTTTCATTTTAATGAAATTTCTTCTTAGTTCTAAGTTGCATCTCTCTTTAATAATATTCCACCAGTTACATCTTGTCCTGTCCTCAGCTGCTTTGGGAAATAAGTCAATCCCCTCTCCTCTGTGAAACAAGCAAAATGTAAAATCTCCTCCACATGGAACGTGCCACCAGCTTAACATAACTGAAAACTTAGGTTGTTACAGAAACTTGTCCCTGTTTTTAACCAAGTTCCTTCCACTCACTTTTATATTGTTTGCCAGCTGCTGCTTTCACTCACTGCTTACATTCAAACCACAGCATGCTTTTGTAAGCCACTTGAACTCCTGGCTGGGTTGTGAGGGGGTAACAGAGGTCAGTCCCACATATGGCTGCTTTGTGTCATTAATGGAAGCTAAAAGATATAAAAGTAGCACATTGAAAATGAAAACTATCCAGAAAGTAGCAGACAATATCATCAAGGGAGTTAGACAAGGCAGCTAAATTCAGTATCCATATTCAAGGACATTCTTCCTTGCACTACTGACAAACAAGAGAACAGTGTGTTCATTTTCAAATTTCAGATTCTGGAAGGATCCGGCTGCTGTTTGCTAACAATCAACTATTAAATTTAAGGAATGTTTATGTCAGAGAATCAAAGGGCTGGAAGGCATCTTGAAGGTCTTCTAGTCCAACCCCCTGCTCAAGGCAGGAGACTCTATACCATCCCAGGTAAATGGTTGTCCAGTCTTTTCTTGAAAGCCTCCAGGGATAGAGTACCAACAACTTCTGGAGGCAAGTTGCTTCACTGGTTAATTGTTCTCCCTGTCAGGAAATTTTTCCTTAGTTCTTTCTAGCCTGGATCTCCCTTCAATGAGTTTCCAGCCATCTTTTTGTGTCTTGCCATGTGTGTGCTTATGTTTCCACAAAATGTGATTGAAACAATTATTTAGCTTAGAGAAGAAAAAGAAACCTTAAGAATTGGATTTTTTTAAAAAATCCACTAAGGAGTAGCCATCTGAGAAGTAAAGAGACCAACACCCCAATTTTCTTTTGCCCATTCAGCTGAAGGGTTACAGAGGGAGTTCTAAGTATTCACCATATTGACAGTTCATGAGTGTTGATAGACGTGCAGGTAACTACTCTTAGGATCTCGAGAACCTTCACAGCTATTTAAGCCTTTTGCAAATTAACTGGAACTTAGCCTGAAGGGATGCCAATGGAATTCTTTTAGTTTCACCAGTATCAGCAACCCTGCCAAACAAGAAACAATGAAGAGTCATCCTGTAACAGTGGATTGGCTTCCTTAGCACTTGGAGTATGCTAAATTCAGAGAAGGGGAGAAAGACATCCTGATTCAAAGTCTGAAGAATTGTTATTTATCAAGGTAGATCCAAAGCATGCCTTTTTCTTTCAAGCCATAACTTGTCAACCAGCACTTTCCTTGGGATGTGTGTCAAAGGAAAGGCTTTCTGAGTTTGGCCTATTTCTTGCAAATATTTCATTACCCAAACTAGGTAACATCATCAGTGCTGATTATATTATCTAGTTTGGGTAATGAAACATCTGCAAGAAAACAGCCAAGCTCAGAGGACACCAAGGATCCCAAAATTGCCCTCTTTCTCTTTCTCTCCTCCTCCTCCTTACCACAAACTCCATTCCCTTCTTACTGATGATATTGCTAGAATAGAATAGAATAGAATAGAATAGAATAGAATAGAATAGAATAGAATAGAATAGAACAGAACAGAATAGAATTTGAAGGGACCTAGTCCAACCTTCTACCCAAGCAGGAGAACCTACATCAATTCTACAGATGGCAGTCCAGTCTCTTCTTGAAAGCTTCTAGTGATGAAGCTCCCACAACTTTTGAAGGCAATCTGTTCCATTGGTTGATTGTTCTGCCAGAAAAAATCTCCTTATTCCTAGGTTGAATCTCTCCGTGCTCAGTTTCCATCTGTTATTCTTTGTCTGGCTTTCAGGTGTTTTGGAAAATACTGTAGGTTGATCCCCTCCTCTGTGACAGCCCCTCAAATATTGGAACACTGCTATCATGTCATCCCTGGTCCTTCTCTTCACTAAACAAGCCATGCCCAGTTCCTGTAACTGTTCCTAATCAACTTTTTTGTTCTTCTCTGCACTCTTTCTAGAGTCCCAACGTCTTTTTTATAGTGTGGTGACCAAAATTGGTTGCAGTATTCTAAGTGTGGTTTTACTTTATAAAGTGGTATTAGTACTTCACACAATCTTGCTTGAATCCCTCTGTTAATGCAACTTAGGAGTGCATTGGCTTTTTTGGCTGCCGCCGCATAGTTGGCTCATATCTGATTGTACACTAAAGACTCCAAGATCCCTCTCACAGTTACTGCTATTAAGCCTGGTTCTACCCAATCTATATGTGGTTTTTCTTGCCTAAGTGTAGGACTTTACTTTTCTCTGTATTGAATTTCATTTTGTTAGATAGGGCCCAGTGTTCAAGTCTGTCAAGATCCATCTGGATCTTCAGCCTATCATCTAGGGTGTTGGCTATTCCTGCCAGCTTAGTATCATCTGAAAAGTTGGTAAGTTCCTCTTCTATTCTCTCATCTAAGTTGCTTATGAAAATATTGAAGAGTACTGGAGTTAAGATGGAACCTTGTGTACCCCACTTCTTACTTCTCTTCATGTAAATGTAGTACCATTAAGGACTACTTTTGGGTATGATTTGCCAGCCAGTTACAAATCCATCTGATGGTGATCCCACTTTTTTCTAGCTTACCAAGAAGTAGGTTGTGACCTACTTTGTCGAACACCTTGCTGAAGTCTAAGTATACTATATCATAGCATTTCGCTGCTCTACTAATTTAATCACTCCGTCAAAGAATGAAACAAGATTGGTTTGGCATGATCTGTTTTTAACAAACCCATGCTGACTTTTAGTTATTATTTTACTTGTTTCTAGATGTTCGCAGATCTGTTTTTTTGATTATCTTTTCCAGTCTCTTCTTGGGTATTGATGTTAGGCTGATTGGTCTGTAGTTTCCTGGGTCTGTTCCCCCTCCCCCTTTTTTTGAAGATGGGAACATTTCCTCAATGCCTTCCACAATGCAGCGCTTCTAATGTACTTGAAAAGTTCTTTAAAATTCAGGGAGATATTCAGATGTATCTGCCTTGAAAGTAGCCCATGTTGAACTGCATAGCACAGTCACAAATCAGGAGTTGACCACAGGAAATGTTTTGTGACATTATTACATTTTGTATTATGTCATAAAATGCTTTATGATAATTTTTATGTCACAATTGTTTATAAAATTTGCCAATTTTCAGTTCCATAAAAGACATGAGTCCCGGAGTTTGAACAATTCAGTAACCTGGCTTGTTTGGGGTTGAAAAACTGTTGCCATATGATGCACTGGTTCACCCAGTTAAAAATTATAGATACGAGTTTAATAGTATATAGATATTGCCAAGCAAATTATTCTGGTAAATTATATTTCTATTTTCCTTTTATATTTACTGCATTGTTGTTGATGTTGTCCGTTTTTTTGTTGAAAGTTTTTTTTATTTCTATGCCCAATACAATGACATACAATCATACAAAATAACTTTTTTTATTTTATCCTTGATCTAGAGCAGTGGTTCCCAACCTTTTCTATACCCCTCACCCCTAGAATGCTTCTGATATATTCTCGCACTCCTTACAAAAGTTTGAAATAATGGCAACAAATTATGCATATACACTATAATTTTGAAAACCCAAGTTTTCGCACCCCCTGGAATATCGTCTCATACCAAGGGGTGCGAGCACCTCTGGTTGGGAACCCCTGATCTAGTGTATATTTTCTCTTTTTAAAGTTTTTATATTCATGTCTCTGATTTCCTGAAACAGGAATTGGTGTAAAATATACTTCAAAAATGAGATTATTTTATAATATTAGTCTCCAACAGGCAAACTAATATTAAACAAATTAAAATTTTGAATTGCTTAACCTGAAAGTTTGCTAATTGGTTGAAATAAGTCCATACTTTTTGGTAAATGACTCTCAATCTAGTGATCAGGATGACTGTTAAATAATACAATGAGTCAGAATTGAGATATAGAAATCTCTAGTCTATACCATCTAATGATCTTCTGGATTTCTGGAGTACAAATATGATAATCCTAGAGACCGATCTTAAACTGCACTGGTTCATATGTATATTTTTGTTACAGTTGCTAAAATTCTGCTTCTTTCCTTAGATTCTTAGATATTAAAGATAGCTTGTGCTTGCATGTGTACTCACATATATAACTGATATATATATATTCATTACCACTACTTATTTGGATAATAAAAATTACTAAACGAATGTGGGTTCCAAATATATTAATGGACTTCGCAATTAACTTGTACATTATTTTTCTTCGAAGGATACAGTTGAACTTAGTACCTCTTGCTTTCCAAGGACAGGCTTCTGAAGATAGAGAAAACGGGATTAGAGCTTCAATTAATAAGCAAAAGAACATGGGTTTATTTGCATGTCAATCCCGAGCATATGAACATCTCATCTTCACCTTCAAATCCCGCTAGGCCCATACACTACCATTTGCGCTTGCGCTTTCTTTTGGCTGTCATGCTGATAGTAGGCGGTGCTTAGGTAGGTGGGTGGGCATTCAGGAAAGCGAGAGGGCGGCGGTGGGATGTTGGCTTTTTATTATCCAGTCAGAAGACTGGGTGCGCATGGAGGGCGGGCACTTCTTAAATAGCCGGCGACGTCGGGGCGGGCTGAGCAGCTACGGGTGGTGCGGGGGGGGGGGAGGCATAATACGTCCTCTTGCTCTCTCTTGTAGGTTACGATGAGGAATGGAGCGCGGAGCGGCGGCGAAGACAACACCAACTGTTGCTGATGCTCGCGCCTCTCCCGCGCGTTCGAGTGGCCGTGGGGAGTTATTAAGCCGTTGCGAGCGTCTTCCCGCCCCCTCCTCGCGCTGTTTATGTGCGTGAGCCTCCGTGCGCGTCGCCAGACGGTTGCTTGGCCGGTTCGACCGGGGCCCTGTCGACGTCCGTGGTGGTGGCGGCCTGGCATATCCCCGCACCTAACCCGCTTCCTCAACTCCAGTAAGGAACCATGCGTCTATGTGGGGCGCTTCTGAAAAGCCCCATTCCCAAACAGATCGAATACTACTCTCGCTTTTCCCCGTCGCCGCTCTCTATTAAGCAGTTCCTGGACTTTGGTGAGTGATCAAACGGCACCTGTGCAGTCGCAGCGCGCGCGTACCTTCTACCATCATCTCCGCTCAACTAAGAATTTTTGATTCAGTCTGACTGGAGAGAAAGATCTCTAGGATACTCCCCCTCTGCTCTGTTTGACGTCATCAATGTTGAGTAGGGGCTGGAGACAAGGCAGTGTAGCAACGGGTAGGATCTAAGGAGACATAACCTGAGTGAGGAGTATACGGCATTAGTTTGGGAATTTAGAAGGCGGTTTAGAACCTGCTGCAGGAAAACAAGCTCAACAGATGGGTTTTTTCCCTGCTACATAAGTGCAGAAAGCTCCTAGATCTTGTACGTCAAAAACTGCTTCGGAAGTTCTCCATAGGTCTCTTGTCCAGAGAGTGAACTGGAAGTGAAAAGAAATATTGCTTTACTTAGCCAGCACTGTGCATCTTCAAATTATTTTATGGGCCTGTTCGTTATTGAATTTCAGTTTTCTAAAACTTTTTTTTCCTTCCAGTGTGCAACAGCTTTTTCAAGGTCAGTGCTACACTGCCCAAACTAGGCAATCAATCATACTTTTACTCAGGCCTGCAAAGCCTAGATTAGAGTTAGTGCTACTTGTGTTTTCAATATTGTGCAGGTTATGCAAGAGTCTTCAACCATGAATCTTATATGCGAGTTTGGTGATTTAGTATATGCAATGTTATGTTTGTGTTCTGATCCTACAGTACTTGGATTGCAGTATAGCAGTGCATTAGAGGAAATTTGTAACTCAAAGGAAATTGGAGTACAAGGAGAATGGAATTCAGGAGAAACAAAAATGGATTGCCTTTCAGGACAATTCTTATTTGAAGGATTATTTGAATCCTTTATTTTGTGGTTTCAAAGTGAGAACATAGTGAGCAGCCTGATTTAAGCTAATTTGAACATAGTTTGACTTACCTGAATATTAAATTGTTTTTAGTATTTTGATATAATGTGCAGAAATGAATTTGCTTTGTGCAATCTGTTCGATTTGGGTAAGTCAACAATTCATTGTCTTTTTTTAAAAAATCAGTTCCTTGGTCATTTTAGGTTCTTAATATTGCATTTCTTCCATACAACTGCCAAACAGTCCTTGGTCTGAAGAGCTGATAGAAGTTTTGGACATTCCCATTCACCTTTGCAGCCTTAAAATTGAAATACCATTATTAAGGTATGACCAAGATGATCAAGGATAATTATTTGCACTGGATATTTAAAATGGAACATTACATTGAATTATATCTGTGAAGTACAGTTCAAGAATTACTTGTATTGATTATCATTCAGCAAAAATGGAAAACAAATGGTTTTACCTTAAAATACACAAGTAATATTTTATAAATTTATCTGTTTCTCTGTAATTTACAGTGCCTCTTTGTTAATAATTCATAAAGAATCCTATTTTATGTCTATATTCATATTTCCCATATGTTGATTTAAAAATGTCCATGTCCCAGAGTCACTATCTATAGCATGGACTGATTGATGGACCAGGAATTTAGATGAGAAAAAAACTCAACTTTATTTTCACTTATTTTATTTTATGCATTTAAATACATCTTTCTGAGAAGGGGCTGACCAGCTTCTCAAACAATACATAAATACATTGAAAATGCTTGGCCTAAAGATAAATCTTAAATATTTATTTTGTTCCATAGTTCTTGTTAGGATCAGTTTAGTCTAGTGGTTAAAGTACCAGACTACAAACCAGAATATTGTGTTTATTACTCCTGCATTAGGCATGGAAAGCCAGCTGGGTGTCCTTAAGCCAGCCAGCCCCTCCCAGCTCAACTCACCTCACAATATTGTTGTGTGGAAATAGGAGGAGGAGCATTAGGTATGTTCACTGCCTCAGGTTATTTATAAAAATAATAAAGCATATAAATAATATTTTATGCAAAATGTTTAATAATAAAATTAATCTTTAAGAGGTTACAATACTTTTGTGATATAAATCACAAAATAGGTAAATCGTATACGTTAATGTTCATTTCTATATTCAGAATTCTTGGGAATCTGAAACTAAAATAAACAGTCACCTTTATTATCTAAACTGAGTGCATATAAGTAAAAGTAGAGCTATTTGGAAAGGCTTCAAACTCCAAGTATCTAGCGCTGATTTAATCCAAATGTAAAGATTAGATTAAATATTAACCAGCCGCGTTCCATTTCTAAAGGGTTTTTTATTGTAAAGGATGAAAAGGTACTTAATTGGCTAAAAATTATTCCATCAATTTTAGTACATTTATTTTAAAAAATATTTTAGTATTTAGTAGTGCCATCAACAATGAAATCTTTGCAAAATGGTACCAAACTACTGAAAGTTTCTGAAAGTATTCAGTTCATATTGCTTATATTGAAAAACTTGTCTAATTTAATTTAATCATAATTTCTCTGATTTGCAAAAGTGTGACAAAAGAGACATTAGTATAGTAACCATAATCATTCATAAATGTTTTCAAGATCAGATTTTGTTTTATAATATGAACCAGGTTGTGCCCATGTTGAATTCGTTGTGCTTGGATTAAAAAATGATCTTCAGTTGTAGAATATGTTCTAATTTCATTTGTGATTATCACAATTTAAAAAGAGTAGGAAATTCTGAAAGCTTAATGGCTTTAATTAATAAAAACTTCATCTGCTGAGATAATCTGGGGAACAGAAGTAGTTGAATATAATAAATGGCATAGATCAGGGGTGTCAAACTCAATTTCATTGAGGGCTGTATCAGCATTGTGGTTGCCCTCAGGGGGCTGGGTGGGTGTGGCCAAGGTGGGTGCAGCCTACTGGGTGGGCGTGGTCAGCTCTACATCGTTCGTGTCAAGGATACCTGTGGAGGCATGGACAGGAATGGGATAGATCTGAGGGTCTCTGGCAGAAGGGGGTGGGACCAAGGCAAGTGCCAAGGTATGGTCCACTGGAGGAGCCTCAATGTTCCTCTCAGGCCATGCGGGGGGGGGCGCTTATGGAGCTAAGACTAAATGCATTTCAGCATAGATGGTCACCACAAAATTGTACATTGGCTCCTGGCCAGCCTGAACCAGGGCCAAGACAGAGAGGGCCGTTACCCTCACTGTTTCCAGGATGGCTTCGCGGGCCACATGAAACCACTTCGCAGGCCACATCCGGCCCCCGGGCCTTGTGTTTGACATGTCTGGCATAGATGATTAGTGAATGCCTTCAGCTACTCACTATACTATATTTGTAAAAATATCACATGGTCAGAATTGAAGCTAATTCGCATTGTGTTTTAAAAGAATATCCTTTAGTGCAGTGGTTCTCAACCTTTCTAATGCCGCGACCCCATAATACAGTTCCCCATGTTGTGATGACCCCCAACCACTTATACATCACCGGGTGCCAGGGGGGTGGCCAAAGAAAAGGGGGGAAAAATGGCAGACAGCCTTGTTTGGTGACCCCCGTGAAATGGTCGTTCGACCCCAAATGGGGTCCCGACCCACAGGTTGAGAACCACTCCTTTAGTGGTAGGGCTGTGCAGGATTCAGTGAAAAATGTGTGCGGTACCTATCTACAAGTCTTTAAGCCATTTCATTTCCTGGAATATCCTGCCAATGCTGAGGGCAGTTTCATGAGCTTTGGAAAAAAAAGCTGCGGTTTCAAGGAGTTGCAGATAGGTGCTACATAAGCACCCCTTATGTGCTCCAAGTTACCTTTTTGATTTTGCTTTGAATCCAAAGTGCCACCACTCCTTCTGAATAATAAATAATGAACAAATTGTATATATCAGTTTACCATTGCTCTTGCCTATTGGTTTTACGGTCTCAGTTGGTAACAAATGTTCTTGGTTGCCAAATGAGGCGCTTAGCAAAATTCCTAGCTCTTTCATTTGTTAGGGAATACTAGGTAACCCCTGATCCATTGGGTCATCCTTTCAGAGTTATTTACTTATACACCTCTTACTCTTGCTGTGCCTTCTTTGCACCATTGTACATCTACCTGCCTAGGACTTCCAACTTCCATTGACTTTCCTTGGTCAATGGAACCTGGTATTTATTTGGCTTTCTATGTTCTGGTGGCCAACACATAGGACAGCAGCTATGAGTTTACATGCTAATCTATCCTGTAGAGTTTTTGTCTGTTCTGTGTATTTATGCTAAGAGGATTGCTGACAGTATTTCCCCATGATGAAAGCAGGAGACTGAAAGTATGCCTCTTCATTAACAGCCCCCATCTTATGGAACTATCTCCATGAGATATCCATTTGATCCATATTTCATAAGTTGACTAAGAATGTTCTATTCCTTTTATCATTTGGTATGGATGGCAGACTTAGACTGTAGTTCTGTTTTTGATAAGAGTAATGTTACACTTTTTATTATCTTACTTATTGACAGTACATTACAGAGCATCTCAGGTTATGACTACATGTTCAGTGACTGTTCAAATT